CATATGTTAAAAGCGTTGCAGATAAATTATCAAAAAAAAAAAATTGGAAGATTCAAGTTTATGTAGATCCGGAGAAACTAAATGAGAAAAAATATAGACAGTTTAACGTCCTCTCTATTGAAGCAGTGCAAGATGATGAAAACACTGAATCGTCATCTTAGAATCAAAATTATCTCAAACAACTTTCATAAAACTATGAACGATGTTTATTTATAGGACCATGCTATAAATTCTATTAATACTTTTTTTTTTAATTTATCACAATATGTAATTATTTATCAATTACATAAACATTACATCATTACTTATTTAATTAACCAAAAATTTACATCTTTATTAATTAAAAAAATTTAATTCTTAACCAAAAAATATATATATAAACTAAGCAAACGTGTATTGCACGTTGTTTAAACCATGTGTGTGTGTATATATATATATATATATATATATAGGCCCTGTTTGGGAGAGATTAAATTTTTCTACAGTAAATCAATTCTCATTTTCAACCACACATTCTTCAATAAAATAATATTTTTATCACATCAATAATTTTTTCTTCTTTTTCAATCACATATTTCCCGTCATATCACTATTCAAAATAAATTCTTATCTCAAAAATTTATCCCTAACAAGCTCATATATTCACGCAGAAAAGTACAAGATCGCAAGAATTGATGAATCCCGTCGATAATTGGAATAATTAAATGTGGACAGTGAAATCTTCATTCAATCATCTTACAGATTGGATTTTCAATGAGCAAGGATTGTTGATCTGCTTCCATTATCGAAATTCTTGGAGTAATTGTAGGAATCGTAGAGAAAAGTTTGAGGAAGGCCAACGTTGTCGGATCCGATGAGCTTTCTGAATTCAGACCTGACCTTGTAGAACACGTGTCTCAAGCTGCCTTTATTGTGGCAACCTAGGACTGTTGTTTCTTGCTCATTCATCTCAAGATCTTTGGCAAAAGTGGGTCTTCTGGAGAGGATCCAGGTCCATCCCCAATCCCACCATTTCCTAATGGAATTTCCGGCATATTCTTCCATTGAAGAGACAGATTTGGATCTGCGAAATGCCCATGAAGTAGAGATATTGTGTTGTTGGAAGTTGAGAGAAGATAGTCTTCTCCGGATGCCTCCTGATCCCTCCTCGGGTTGCGAGACTGGAAGCGCTTGCTTGCCTCGGAATATCGAGCTCATTTCAACTTAGAAAAATCAATGGTTGGAATTGGAGTTTGTATTAAGAACTTAAAAAACAAAGAGAGGCATATGGTTATGAAGAAAGGAGGTGGGAAGTTGTGGTCACAGCTATACCACAGGCTGGTTAGAATGATGGTGGGCTCCATTACTTTATTTTCAACCATGGCCACTCTACTTTTTACTTAATGTCATCTTCCCCTCTCAACTTTAATTTGGTTCAAACGTATCACCAAATGTTATAAAATGTGCCATTCAGGCCACCAATTAATCAACTGTCTTATATAACATAAAACCAATGTGAATGATTTGACGACGTATCTCTTTAGTACATCCAAGTGTAAATCTTGTGTACTTGTAAAATTGATATATTATGAAAATGAAAATGAAAATGAAAATGAAAATAATTTCCCAGATTTGCATATTTGGGTGGGCGTGGGGGTGTGGCGTATGGGTGGGGGTGGGGGTGTGAATGTGAAAATTGGTTTTTAATTTTAATTATAAAAAAATGTAAATTTACCATTTTAACATTTTAAAATCAGTCAAAATTATTGTCAAAATCAATTACTTGGTCAACTAACGGTCAAACTAATAGAAATCATTCATTTGGACTTCAATTGCGACATTTTGAGAGGTTTGGTACCGTAGGTGGCACAAATGAAATATTTGAGCAAAATATGTTACTTAGTGAAATGTTTGGTACCGCTACTGCAATTATCCCTTGAATTTATTTTATGTGAGACTATACTCTTAACTCATTAAATTTATTACTTATCAACGATCTCGTATGCTTGTGAGTTTTGCACGAACACATGCTTATTAACTCTGGAAGATTATCTCGATCTTCTACATGAATTAAGTAGTATTTGATAGTTTGATCAGCACTTCCTCTAGTATGTGTGTTGGATCTTTCGTACTTATTTAGGCTTTCATACTTTGCATGACGAAGAAATCTCCCATAGTCATGTTATCTTCATCAACTTGTACATATGAATCATCATGGAAATACTTCTTTTGTTTATCTTGTACCGTAAAGCCTGATAATCTCTATAGTACTCCTAAAGACATGTCATCCTCATCAATTTTTGTGACGTCTTGTACTTGGAAGTTCGATATCTCCGTAATACTCCCAATGATAAGTTCTCTTCGTCAACTTATACCCTATACTTGGAAGCTCGAAAATCCCCATAATACTCTCATTGGTAGGTTATCTTCATCAATTTCGATACATGCATTATATTTCTTCATTTTAAAATAGTTACGGTTTATAAGAACCCACAGAGTTATGTTATCTTCATCAAATTCAGGTTTCCACATCTCAATTTATTGCTGGCATCTTGAGTCTTCGAATTTTCTGTCAATGAAATCAAGAAAAACAAGTAGGTCAACTTAAAAAGAATAAAAAAGGGAAAATATTCAAATTAAAACTATAATTAACTAAATAACTATAATCCCTAACAACGATGCCAAAAATTTGATTGTTAAAATCTCACAATTATACGATATTGTAACCAAGTAATAAATAATAAATAAAGCATCATTCTCACGAAGACTAAGTATTTAATTTAATTTTCAATTAAACTCAACTTTTATCAAACAACAAAATTAGTTGAGATTTATGATTTATATATTAATAAATTAAACTCAGAGCCAATCTAACTAATCTAGCTAATTGGGAAGTGGATGTGAAACTAGAGTAATTGATAAACATTAGGACTTCGAAACCTCTACATTCATTCATTTTAATATCAATTCCATTAGTTGAAAACACCCATTTTGATATAAATATCAATGTTCCTTGTTCATTTAGGGGACGTTTGATTCCTATTTTTCTCAAAATACATTTTTATTCCTCTTCTTTTAAACAATACATTCTACATTAAAAATAATATTACATTCAAATAAAAAACTTTTCCTTCTTATTTACCACACATTCTCCATCAATCTACTATTCCAAAATACATTTTTCAATAATAATGGGGCTCAAACACCTATAATAATCTTTTGATAAATCCATCCTCACACGTTTTCTCATATATCTCTATGAATGATGCGTACATGCAATGATGTAAAATCACAAGAACATTAAAAATGATCATGTAAAGTATAATGGTATATCTCAATTTCATATCGGACTTTACAATAATTGTTATTATGTGTTAATTTCCCATTCTTTCTCGAATGTCAATAGAAATTGTTGACCTCGAAAAATGGCTCCGACACGTGGTCAACAGAAAATGTCTTCAAATCTCCTCTTCCTACACATGTGGCACGTCGTTAGTCCTTTCCCGGAAGGATTGGGANGCAGTGGAACACTCGCCGGGAAGTGGTTGACAAAAGTGTATCGAAAAATAATAATATTCGAGAGAAGAAGATACTTAATTTCACAATGTAATAGTAGTTTAGAGTGTTGGATTACCATCTTTCTTCAGGCATAAGGAGGGGGTATTAATACCAAGGATGGGAAGAGGAGAGCCATTGGATGAGGAGACAAATGTTGCCAGATCTTCAAGGCTCGGCCTATTCTAGGTATCCATCTGTCCCTCCATAGATTGGCTGACATTGAATGTTCCTGATAAAAGTAACTGATTTGACCGTTTGGGTCATGCCGCCCGTCCTATTAATCAGTGACTTGACTTAGGAAAGATCTTTGTACAAGGGATCTTTGGTGAGGCGAGACGAGGCAAGGGAGGTGTTGTAGCATTTGTAGAAGCGGAGTGCGGGCCTTTGCATCTGTGGTACACGTGCAAATGAGTCAGGTTCGTTTGCTGACGCCTAGTCAGTTTGTCCTGTGGGATCACTTTGACATATACGGCCAGCTCGTCTCATGAGCAATCACCTCGACCGACACGTGGCATGGTGTGGGCCACCTCTAATGACAGCGGAGGGTGAGGTGCGAGTCTGACTCAGGCCCGTAACAATAGTCCCGCAGTCCATGTATGGATATTTATATGGTGCAAGTACTTAATTTTAGTGAATGATCAGGTGCGAAGGGGACGAGCGCCGAAGGCTGATAGTCGAACTGATAAAGACTAGCAACTCGAGGGGGATAAGTTGTAACATCAGATTCTGCTATGGCCGAAGTGATTTGGGTTGGCAACTCTGTAGAACTGTTGCAACCCGAAGCAGTTGTGACCGAAGCGATAGAAGTTGGCAACTCTAGAGGGAGTTGTCACAAGATTGGATCCTGCTCTTGCCGAAGCGATAGGGGTTGGAAACTCTGTGGAGAGCTGTTGCAACACGAAGCTATTGTGGCCGAAGCGATAGGAGTTGGCAACTCTAGAGGAAATTGTCACAAGATTGGATCCTGCTTTTGCTGAAGCGATAGGGGTTGGCAACTCTGTGGAGAGCTGTTGCAACGCGAAGCTATTGTGATCGAAGTCATAAGATTTGGTAACTCTAGAGGGAGTTGTTATAAGATTGGATCCTGCTCTTACCAAAGCGATAGGGGTTGGCAACTCTATGGAGAGCCGTTGCAACACGAAGCTATTGTGGCCGAAGTGATAGGATTTGGCAACTCTAGAGGGAGTTGTCACAAGATTGGATTCTACTCTTGCCCAACCGATAGGCGTTGGCAACTCTGTGGAGAGCTGTTGCAACACGAAGCTGCTGTGACCGAAGCGATAGGATTTGGTAACTCTAGAGGGAGTTGTCACAAGATTGGATCTTGCTCTTGCCGAAGCGAGGGGTTAGCAACTCTGTGGAATGCTGTTGCAACGCGAAACTGTTGTGGCCGAAGCGAATTCCAGAGTCTTGGGGCTTGTGTCAATGTTTTGAAAGCTTTTGCATCTTCCCAAGATAATCACGAGGGACGATTGCTTGCTTCCAAGACAAGCCTCCCTTGCCATAAATGGTAATGATGACACGACGTCCGTTCCTCAAGGCGACGTGTTTGGATCGCGCGTGTAGGTTACCGCTTCATCATGGCCGTTAATTCAAATGACCCTTGGGTTTGATGGAGATCTCTGTGCTCTCTCTTTGGATGGTCTAGATGTGGTTTGGGTAATCTAACGGCTGGGGGGAATTCGAAACGCCTATAAAAAGCTCATTCTCTTCATTTCCAAGCTTTTACTTTGGCGAAAATTCCACATTGCTCTCCAGAACTCTTGCATTCTCTTTTTTTTGCATTTTCCAATGTACTTTGTTAGAAACTCCGACGACATCTTTGAAATCTCCAACAGGCGCAGGGTACTCTTCCACAAGTTTAGGTAACATTCCCCATTTTCAGTTTCTTCATCTAACTCCGACGACATCTTTGAAATCTCCAACAGGCGCAGGGTACTCTTCCACAAGTTTAGGTAACATTCCCCATTTTCAGTTTCCTCATCTCTTTCTTTAGATTTTACCAAACTTTGAAAATCCCTGGGATAGCTGGCAAACAATCTGTTAGCGCCCCTAGGAGTGAGGAGATGAGAGGTGAAGGGGGTTCTGCTCTGATGGAGCTTATACTGGTGTCTTCAGACGAGCTGAGTAGCGCCATTAAGGCTAGGGAGAACATCTGGAAATGTCCGCCTCCCCTGTGGACACTTCGGTTTAATGGGGGGCTTCGAAATATCCCTCCAACATCAAGGAGATATTGGAGAGGTACAGGGTAGTTTTTAGGATCCTTGATAGCATTGAGTTGATTGTACTCGATCCTCATGAGAGGGCCTATTATCTGAGGCTAGGGTGTGTGGCGATAAGTGAGAACCTACTTAAGGCTGGGTTGAGGCTTCCCTTTCATCCATTCTTTACGTTAGTACTCCAGTCCTACGGGTTGGCTCCGACCCAGCTTAACTCGAATGCATGGTCCCATCTGGTGGGAACGTGGATGCTGTGGCGTCGAGCCAGCATAGGGATGGATATGCCATTCAGTACATTCCATTCCCTTTTCTTGCCAAAAAGTGTAGCGGGGGACGAGGAGAGTAAGGGTTAGTATTATTTGGCGCCTTGGGGGTCCCACGCCCCTTTCGTAATCGGGCTGCCCACTTCTGTTAAGGGTTGGAAGAGCTCCTGGTTTTGGG